CTGTCCATCCCACTAGATCCAACAGGGCGGGCATCTCCAGTTCCTCTCTATTAAACAAGGTCATCTGGAGGGAACTAGGAGACATGGCTTCTCTGTCATGGTGCCTGCTTTATGGAACAGCTTCTCCACCAAGATCTGGAGGGTCCAAATGCCCAATCTTCCTGGGCTTCCAGAAGGCTGTGAAGAGCTGGCTTTTCCCCCACGTGTTGGACCGGTATGTTAGTTGAATCCAGTACAGATATAATGTGGTTACGTTTGTTATGGTGCCTGGATATTGTATTATGGTTATTTTTAATTTAGTTTGTATTTGTTTGTTGAGGTTATATTATATATTTTTTGTAAATTGTTATTAGCTTCCCAGGTGGTCATATAAGTTCTCTAAATAAATAAATAAAAGAAGAAAATAAGATGGTTGTGGCAGTTTTATCTCTGATCCATCAACTAATATCAAGAGCATATAGCCTTTAACACTGAAGGTAATAGAATTCTGACTAATAGCCACTGACAGCAGCATAGTTAATATGATTCCCTTTAAAGGCATCTTCAGGCTTCATATCCAGGCTGAACAGAAATCATGTCTCATTAATTCAGCTCTCTGCTAGAGTTCACAGAAGACTTCTAGACAAGTCTTGACTAGAACACAATCTTTCCTGCAGACAATAACGAAGCCTCAAACACAAAGGTTGATTGCCCACTGTGATGCAAAGAAACCAGAAACTTTATATAGCTGTGTTTCAGAATTTACTTGGGGCATCTTCCTTCTGCCATGCTGCCTTAATGAATTCTTAACTGGTTGCTTGATGGTCTTGGGATGCTGCTCTTTATAATCTGGGAACTATTAGCTCCCACTTCACCAACCTTATCCCTTATGCTCTCCGTCCTCATAGCATCTAAACTAAGAATCATCACACTGTTTTAAAATAGTTTCATTGTGCACTATATAAAGAAGTCTTCCATCCATCCATTTGATGTCTCCAATTGTTCAGTTTCATGGAATCAGTGAGAGACAAAGTATTTCTCTAATGGGCCACTTTATCAGTGCTGGTTTAGCATCATACCTGCATACCTACTATCTCTAGTAATAGGAATATTTCCCTGTAAGATTAAATAACAAGGGATAAGTTTGCTGGATCCTTTTGTTGTTTAACTCTTCCTGAGGAACAGCAGCTGGTTGTGTGGGAAGAAGACAGTTTAGGGCCTCTTCAAGTTGAGATGTGAATCTTCCAAGACACAGGAAGGAATTGAACCAACATGGATTTCTAGATGCAGTGAGCATTTAGAGAGAAAGTCATTATTTTATGTTGTTTTGGAGTGCTCAGAGCCTTGCCCAGTTCCTGACAAAGCTGTTTTCCCTGCCAGCATAATCTGTGGCAAAAGCTATGATTAATTCATGATACTTTAAAATACTGGCCTGGATCAAAGAATGGATCTACCATTTATATTGCTTTAGCATTCTAATTCTTTTTCTTTAACACCCATTCATATTTCTAGTTGCTTTGGGGTATCTTAAAAATTAAATAAGCAGAGTTTTTGGTGCCAATTTGTGTTTTATGGGGGCATAAACTGATAACATGCCTCAGAAAGCCTAAGCCTCTTTAGATTGTCTATCAGATATTGTGTTCTCCATTCCAAACATAATGGCACTTCCATACCACCACTACTTCCACTCCCTAATCCCTCAAAAGCAGTTTGAAGACAATCCAAGTGCTCAGAACAAGGAGCTCCAAAATGCTGCATGTCCTGCAGGAACAAAAACCTTCTTACCTCCACTTGGTGCAAAAGGATAATATTATAAATTGTTTGCAGGCATAATCTCATCCCATCCTTGCTTCATATTGTGTGCAATTGTCTGACCATATGTAACACTTCTCCCCTCAATGCATAGTTCCTCTGTACTAAGTATTCTGACACCACAGGTTTGCATAAAGGCTGTGTTTTATTTTCCTTTCCTTTCCTAATGATATCCAGCATGAAGTTGCCTTTATTCAGAACAACCACTTGCTGGGTTAATAGTTGTATAATTTGATTTTATATAGATGTATAATTTAATTTTACAATTTTTCTTGCATGGAAGTTTTTCTTTCCAAAACTCCCCATATCCTCACAGCCTAATCTATGATTAATTCAGGATATTGCATGATCCTAGCCTGGTTAAAAAAAACTGCCACAAATGTGACATCTATCCAGCATACTGTTGCCAAAATAATTTTTGTCTCTCATTTCTCTGGTCATATTGCACACAACCTTACCTTTGCTACTTTGGATTCCTGTTCAACTTGGCAAACATGAAGGCAATGTGAGTTAGCAGGTCAGGTTAGTAGGGTGATCAATATATTTATTGTACATCTAGTAGAGAAGCAACATAGAAAAAGTACCAAGAATAATACCAAATAATGAGCAATCAAGAATGTCATGGCAGATGAAAATACTATTCTACTTCCAAGTGAAATTCTGGTCTTTCATATAAGACCAGAAGTGCTATTCAAGAGACAAAACGTATTCACCTTTCCCCTGTGAAGCCTTTCTTTTCAGCTGAGTAGTCCTGCATCTGTCAGTCCCTGGATCTCCTTCTCTGGGTCAGTCTTGGCTGCTGAAACCCTACACATTGCCAAGGATAGCTCTGGCACAGTTTCTTTTGCTGTTCCTCTACCTGTGAGTTCTTGAGGTCCTAGTGCATCGTAGATGACAATTCTTACACAGGGCCACGACAAAGCCCCTTCTTGTCTGCTTCTAGATCCAGTGCAAGCTTCTTATTCTTACTTCAGATCTCTTCCTGATCTTGCCCAGTCTTTCAGTCCTTGTAATTAGGACTCATCTCTTGAGATCTTCATTCTTTGAAGTACATCATTTTCTGTCATCTGAATATTTCCTAATCCCTCAAAAGCCTCCACCCTTTTCTCTTTGTTGTCCTATATTGCTTGAAACAGTCCCACATAACTCCTGCCTGATAACTCTTATTTCCTTCAATTCTTCCTGTTTGTTTAGGCCTTTGGCGCAAGCTTCCAGTTTCCATGCCCTCTTGTCATTTAAGCACCCCCCCTCTAACTGAAGCAATGAGTCTATCTCTTCTTCTTGCCTCCCCTTTTGTATGAGAGTTAAGGCCAAAGCCAGAGGTTCTCAATTCAGAGATGGCAGATATATAAACATTCAACATCACATAGCTTCAAGGCCACCAAGCATCAAGCAAAGAGTCCATTCATTTATGAAAAGAGTGGGAAGAAAAAGCAATAGATTTGAACATCTGTGGATATAAGACAGAGACTGTACTGTTGCACTGGCAATAGGCAATAAACTATTTCATTTGGCATCAATCTTGTTTGCAATAAAAGATGCTTTTATTGTATATGTGGGTTTCTGCCAAGTCCTAGACTAGTAGTTACGCCATGTAAAGTCAGGGATCTGTAGTTTACTGCTGAGTTGTGGCCAGGAGAGCTGACACATTGATCATAAAATTTGAAATGGGGAAAACAAAACATTATTTCAGTGTAGCTCTTTCCCAATGCAGATGTGTCCCAATAAAAAATCAAACAACATGTAATTTGACAAATCATTTGTAACCTGTTTAGTTGTTGTTGTTGTTTAGTCGTTAAGTCGTGTCCAACTCTTCGTGACCCCACTGAACCATATTGCGCCAGGCCTTCCTGTCCTTCACTGCCTCCCTGAGTTTGCTCAGTTTCATGCTCATTGCTTCAGTGATGCTATCTAACCATCTCATCCTCTGCCGTCCTCTTCTCCTTTGATGCCTTTGAACTGTGGTGCTGGAGAAGACTCTTAAGAGCCCCCTGGACTGCTAGGAGGTCAGAACATCTCTTTAGGTGCTTGGAAAAAAAGTGATATATAGTGTTCTTGTAACATCATACAACTACAGTATTGTTAT